CTTAACGTCCTAAAAAATCAACTCTTCATACATACTTCACAAACAGTTTATCCTCCTGACATAAAATCATTGTTACTACCATCACATCCTTTTTTGACCTTAAAAGAGGATCCTCACAATATCACGTTCATCGACTTCATCAAAGGCATCATTCCTACCACTCTACTGAATCTACTCGATTCCTTTACCAACTCTTCTTTTCGTACTTCTAAAATTCTTTCCCTATTTTATGACTACATTTTTGATCAATTCTACGAAATTATATGGAAATCTCGATGCGCAGCTACTATAGAAAAAGAATGATCACTTAACATATCGAAATATTAAAAAAAACGTAATTACAGTCCTTCTAACAACTTTTCTATTAATAGTTATCCAAACTCAATTTTATCTTTACCTAATTATAAATATGATCATACTTCCCTTATGATCAAATCTTTTGTGTATGAACGGAAATGGTCCTTCTTCCTTACGCAGTAATAACTATTTGTCAAACGTTTTACTCTTCTTTAGTTGGATGGTGATGGTAATTCTACTAGTGATTGTTACTGGAGCCTGACAGGACAACCAGTTGGTCTGATTGGAGTTATTCTACTAATAATAATTATTAGGCAGCATTTTTTATTTTTCTACATTTGTATCCTTTTGGGATTTTCATGTTTTAATTAACTGATTATGAATTTTTATAATAAGCAAATGCATTATTGCGTCTTAAAAAAAAAAAAAAAAAAAAAAGCTGATCCAAAATCAATGAATGTTAGCTCATTGGATCCGTCAAGTCACAAGGAATTGAATGGTAGTTGTTTTATACAAATCAGTGCGATATTGACCAAGATCATACATCTTTTGTTTTTTGTGTTTTTTCTATATATAAAAAATCATGTGATATGACGTATTTCAACCATTTCGACTTTTGGGTTTTCATTTCGACTTTATGTATAATTCAGAGTGACGATCATTAGTTCAGATATTTTTTTTGCATCTAGATGTATCCTGTGTGATAGATTAGCTAACCTATTCTAGACATGGGCACTGGTCAGCATTAAATAGATTTTTGACGAATATTTCGTGCAATTATTGAGGAGAGACCTTTGGAAATAATAGTAGTTCTTCTCTGGTAAAATAAAACATTTTTACTTCCCTATCAATGAATTTCTGTATTAATATACTTGGAACATCTTTTAAGGGATCATGGTATTTCTCAAACTTTCGAAGATATTCTCTTGTGGTTTTATCAGCCTCTTCTGCTTTTTTTGATTAGTGTAACTAATAATATTGAGTTTTTTCCAAATTGCTATTATATCTTCTTTTAAATATATAAGCAAATTAAATATCTCCTTTAATGAAATATCTGTAGAAGCTTCATTGCTTTGATATTTCACTTCTAGAATAGGATTACTATCAATATTGAGATTCTTCTGTATCAGCATTAAATCTCCTACCAATTTTAACAACAACTTATATGAATCAGCAAGTGTTTTCACTTTCTTGCTTTAATGTACTGCTATTCAATTTGCATTGTTACTAATACTGAGTTTTTCTTGAATAGCTATTATATCCTTCTTCTTATATAAAAACATTTTATATAACTGATTAAATATTTCAGGATTATTATTTGCCATGATTACTATAATAAAGTAATATATTTAATGTGAAAATTTGAGTCTGGAATACTGATCATCATCCTAGAACAGTGATTTTCAGCTCAGAAGAATTTTTTGCTGAGCTACAGATTGTGTGACAAAATATGCAGATCACCAGACAGGTTTGTGCAACATATTAATTTCGCATATATATATTCGAAAAAGAAAACTTTGTTCTTTATTTTTTCCTGAACAAATATGAGAAAAATGTGAAGAAGACCTAGTTGCAACATATGACCTACTGTAAAAGTAAATATTGACGATAAAAGCATATACTATGAAGGGCTGAGGGAGTTACAATTTCGAGATCGCTGGATGTAAGACCAACTATGTAAATCTCTGATAGATCTACATGTGAAAAGGTAAGAAGATTCCATTTGCATGTATTTTCAAGAGACTCTTAGCATCATACGATAAGGCTAATTACACTTCATACCTTCTTAACTTTTTTTCAGCAAGATATAAACCATATATAAGTATATAGAAATTTAGTTAACTTTTCACAAAAATCTTTCCTAGAGAAAATAATACAAAATAAGGTATGTATATGCCAGAAGTTATGTATGTATGAGAGTGAATTTTTCTCACTATAGGTCTTTATTTAGGAAAAAAAATGATGGATCTGATTATATCTAACTTACTATTAAAGATGATAACAATGAATTTGTAGTTGGTACTTCTCAGATTCGTAATGTCGATAGACTCAAAAACTTCATTGTAGGAGAAATTGATACTGCTCGCTTTGATCTCTATAAAAATAGTGTACATCTAAAAATCTTATGGATATGAAAAAGGCAATTCTTAATTATTTTAATCCTGAAAAGATGATAATCTAACGGTTATTGTACATCCCACTACCCCAAAACTTCCTCTAACAAATAGTTAGAAATTTTTATTCACATGATATATTCGCAAATTATTTTTTATGTATTAGTTGCTCTTAATAACTGCAATGATTTATTTAATAAAGTATTATTATTTTATGTACTGTATATGAGAAAGGGTCACATGAAATGATGCAATACCTATGCGACATAAAATTGTATATTAATGCTTGCTTTTTCAGAAATAAAATTTTCTCACTCTGGAACGTAATACATTTTATTTCACCTGTGCTGATGAAGCTACCATTGAACTTTACTAAATATGATAAAAAACACAACTATCAGTTCCAGTCAATTCAATTTTAGGGAAGAGGAAGTGCAAAACTTTACTCGTCCTGATGGTGCAAATATTGTGTGCAATGGTATATAAATGTATAAATTTATTGGTAGATTTTAAGCGTTCTTTTTTACTTACATTCTCTAAATTATAGCAGAGACTGTCTTATCAAGAAACAATTATAAAAAACCCTCAAAATATTTTCTTAAATTGTTGGAGTATACTAGTATGATTGCAATACCAATTTTATTGCTCTATTTCACAAGTATTCGATTTACTATTCTTGGTATTGTTATTATGGCTATATTCCAAGGAATATTATTATATAGAGATTATTTAAGGCAATATTTTAGTGATATATGAAGAATACCTTTATCAGTAAAGTAATATTAAATAAATTATATGAAAATACTTATAATATTTTGTAGGTTTATAATATATTTCTGACATGTGTTAAACAGAATAGTTAAAAGTTTTGTCATATATTCTGATGGGTGGATTTATTATATTAATCCTTATCAACATTACTTTAGTATTATAATATATAGTTTTGATTTTACACATATATTATTATAAGAGAAATATTTCTTATCGAACAGTCACGTATAATGAATAATGAATGTTGTTAATCAGGCAAATTTTTAGTCTGAAGAATATACCCGCCTCGCAAATAAAATTCTTGTCATTTGCATCAATAGCATTTCACAAAAAAACAGTATATAAGCTGAAAAAAAATGTCTATCATTCTGCTTTGCCTTATTAAAGGAAATACTCTAGCGAACGCTTTTCCTGTTAATATTAATAAGGATCAGCTTGTTGGCCACCTTAAAAAAGTTATTAGGGAAGAGATAGATGTTCCTGAAAATGTCAAAGTAAAAGACTTGAAACTATGGAATGTGAAGATCCCTGATGATCAGGACGATCTCTTAAGCAATTTCACACTCAATGATGGGATAAACTCCTTACGATAAATGAAATAGGAGACTACTAGGCTGAGAAACCACTCAAGAGACATATTCATGTCTTAGTCTCTCTTCTAGAGACTACTGCTACTTCAGACGAGGTGTTGAAATTAAAAGAGAAAGTCACCTAATTGAAGGAGAAACTTAGCAAGAATGAATATGATACATATGAAATAGTGTGAAAGACCTCTTTATGGAAATTTACTAACCTGCCATTATAATACAGTGTTCGACATTATCGTGAGCCTGAAATGAATGAACAGATTCAAGTGGAATGTAGATGTAAGAGATGCGACTCTTGAAGGCCTCAAGGAATATATACGCAAAGAATATAATCCACCGTCTCTTGAAAAAGATGAAGTGATATTAAAATTCATAAGTGGGAATAAAGAAAGATATTCATCTAAGACTTCTGCAAAATGCTCTGGCAATTCGTATTAAATAATAATTTCAAGTTAATTGTTGTTATAGAGACCCCCTTAAAAGCTTTCTTGGATTGATCATTCCCAAAAGTGTGTCAGCTTTACGAACTTGGTGAATCAGATGACTCATTATTGTCAGTATTCTTGCCTTTTACTTGCGAGTACAAAGATCTGGAAGAATATTCTTTCCAAGCAATATTTAAACTTCTTATAGCCGAACTAGAGGTTCGTCTCAAGTCTATTTCAATCAGTGGAAATGATGCATTGAAATTACAATATGTGTGTTCTTACCTTGTCGCAGGTGTGAATCTATACGAAGGAAAGCTTAAGCTTTGACTAGAAAAAAATATCATAGGACCCAATGGATACAAACCAGTTGATTTCACAATAGACCTGCTCTGAACTGCAAAAACTGCTAGTGTGGCAGAAGTAAAGGACGAAATTATTTTTAAGGGTATTGCTCGGAATGCTGTTCAACTTGAATCTGCTTTATCAAACTGTAAATGTAAAGCAAACGAGATGGAAAAAGAAAGTGTATTTATAGGTAAGACTTTTGGAATCATCACAGATGCAAAAGAATGGTATTTTATGGAGTGTTCTTCCAATGATCAGGACAGGATAAAAATTCAAACTATCAAAGCTGGTAACTGTAGTATATGATAGTAAGAACATGGAAGATAATGTTGAAAGAGTTCTTAGCATATTGCATGGTTATTGGAGGAGATGCAGAAGCCTGACTCAGCTTTTGATGTAAAGGAGAGGGAAATAAAAGGGTAATATCAGGCGATCTTATGAAGAAAAAGAATTAGAATTTAGGAATAGAAAATTTGTCATGTATAACGGACGCAGTTTAAATATTTGTATTTATTTTTCGTATGTATTAATAAAAAATTTTTCTAGGTGAACGATTAGTCATGTGATTAAAACTGTAAATTACTATCTGAATCAAATAGCAAAAGGACCAGAGATGAAATCAAATAAGTAATAGTTATATAAGGTTTGATGAGCTCTGTCTAAACTCTATCATCAGAAAAAATAATATTTTGTTGCACGTGCATTTTATTCATAATCATTTTCCTGAATTCCTTTAGATCAAAGGCTATCTGGCTAAAGAAAATTCTGAAATCTGATTGGTTGATCATCTCATGATTTAGATAAAGGCGCTATGCATAAAAACTCGCCAGCACCTGGAATTATTCTGGAATTGTCATGGAACTGTCATGGAATTGGCAGAGATTTAGGGATACAAACTTATATTTAGCCAATCGGTTCTAATTTAACTGAATCATATTATAATATCTGTTTTCGCCTGAACAATCAAATAAAAATAAAAATAAATTTTGATTTATTAGAGTATACTATTGCTAAATCAGCTATAAAATAATAAAATCGCTATAATTTGCAATAAGTCTTATTTATTGTGTATATTCAAGTGTATTAATATGACAAGTGTGATTAAATCTCCACTAGATAATGGTTTTGAGGGTACTTATGAAGAGCATGTGTGATATGTGTCATATTGAGAATGGTGAAACTCCAACTGAGTGGAAAAACAGGATCTGGAATCTCCTAATGTATTTTCGAAATAAAAAATATTATACATATGATAAGGAAGATTGCTTTTATGCTCATAAAGCATTGCCACATCTTGTTGATGAACAAACATACTCACTGAAATGTGGAATGGCAATCAACTGGTATATCTCAGAATAGAAAGCTTGTCGATAGGTGAAAGATATGTTTATAATTGTATGGAAGGCAAGTTTAAAACTGAGAAATTCTGATATATTTCTTTTAATAGAACACATTGGAATATGTACTAACATTGGGTTACTGCTTGTATCAGAAACAAGTTTCACAAACTAAATTTCAAAAAATATATGAAAATAAAACAGCTGATCCCATTGGATCAGTGGATGAGTTTCCATCAAATAATTCAATTTGATAAATTCAGATGCAAAAACCCATATACCATTTTAACTGATAATAATTACATCCTAAATAAATTTGGCATTCATGCTCATAATAAATTATATAGTTATGCTTTATAGTTAGAAAATGTTACCAGAAGGATTAGGCGCATCAGACAGAAACATATCCTTTTGAATATTTGAAAATAGAAGAAATTCCATCAGATTGTGAATCAGCCTACATTAAGATTGAGAGATGAACAAAAATTACATTCATTCAACTGACAGATTCTGAGTAATATATTTAATTATAAATTATTGCTTTCAACTGAAGATTACCGTATAGCGCTGACATTAGTACCCCTTTGCAAAATATCTTTCTTGAATAGTAATGGATACTATTCAATCACCAAAAATAAATTTTTTGATTAATACTAGGATACTAATAAATTAACCAATTAAATTGATAAACATGTCGATCAAATTTACCACAATGATGCCAATCAAATTTATCATAATGATATTGATCAATTTGATTGATTGTAATATATTAAACATAAAAATCAAATTTATTATTATATTTTATACTTTATCAATATTAAATGTCATTATTTATTAAGTATACATGATTATTATTTAAAT